TTTTGGGTTTTCGAAATACTTCGTAAGATATCATTTAAAGCACTTATACACAGAAATGTAATAATGTATATAAATCGTCGGTAACTGTAAATTAACGACGTGAGAGAGATGTCAAAAATATTGCGTCTACAATTGTTTCTTCTATTCAATAAGTGCCTCATCATACGACAATGATCCATTGTTCTTTTGAGGTCGTCTGGTATGTTTACCCATAGTGATTTCACAATCAATAAAAATGTCACAAAACGAAAAGTAGGAGTTGAAAGGCAGTAAGTTTTTGATGAATCATGGGAATTTGCCTCGAAAGTCGAGCATTGTCTCACCAACCGATGTTCCAGATACACTGCCATTTCAGCAAAATTCTCTCACTAAAGATTTATGTCGCAGGTCCCGTTATCATGGCAAAAGTTTGCAGTATACTAGAATGTGTAGTCATGGTAATAATCAAACAGAACATTCTTTGCTATAATATTTTTTATGCATTATCACTATTCTTCATCCCCATACCCGAAATGAAACAGCACCACAGAAAATCGTCCACACCGTCACCTCTGCCCTTACTTCTTGTAATTACCTTCTTACCCTCTCTCATTTACCCCACTATCTTCCCATTTTATTATTTAATGATTTACTTATTTATTTACTCATTATTTAAACATGTATTTGCACTGTTAATTCTATTTTCAACATTAATAGTTTCATTGGCAAAGTCGCTGATAATCAGTGGAATTCAAAAATCGATTTCGAAACTATAATACGATTTGTATTGGCGCCTGCAATATTGAACGGGTTGAAAATTTAACTTTTATTTATTTAAACTTCTACTATGTTCTTTAATTGTTTTCTCGCTACCTCTTACGCAGTACAGAGAGAGCTATTTGTTATTGAATGTAGCAAGTTCAATTCTTTCTTTAGTTTTGGGGTTTTGCTTTTTCTCGATAATCTTCTGTTTGTAGTGTTAATTAATGGTAGTATTTTTTTCGTGGCAATATATTGTAAATTGTTTTTTGGGGCAATGAGAGGTCTTTTGTATTGCAGTTGTTTAATAATGTTGGGAATAATATCATTCAAATTTGAAATTGCCCTATTTTCAATGGAGTATTTACATTTTTAAAATTGGGGGTTTTGTTTGGTATTATTTTCAGAATATCTTCCAGTTTGTGTTGTTCATGTTCAGTATGAGGGATAATATCGTGTGGCGGAGAGAGATAAGGGCGTGGAGAGATGATGATTGGTAAGTGATCAGAATCCAGTTCGAATAGACGAGTTGTATTTTAAGTGTTTAGTGATTGCGATATCCAAGTTGGGATGTTTGGGTGTTCTGGGTTTTGTTTATGTTCTGTAGGTAATGTGTTGATTCTGGTAGGATTATAGATATTAAAGTTATATCAGTTATTAGTTTTAGCAAGTGTCGGCATGCATTATTTGAAGTTCTACAGCCCCAGTTGGTGTTTCTTTTCAGTTTCGGTCTCCAATGAGTAGGGTGGGGGTGTTCAGATGAAATAATGAGTCTACGTTTGCGTCTAGAATTTTTATTTGTGGTGATTTATGTCATTCCTTGCTTGTGATTTTGTTAAGAGAGTGGTGATTTTTTGCACAGCAAATACAAGCAATGTATGATTGCAGTTATTCCTGATATGTCCCACGTTCAGACAATGTACACATTGGTCAGGGCTTTTGTTATTTCGTTTTTGTTTTTGTTTAACATTCAAATTACAAATTTGTATAATTTGGAGCACTGATTCGACTGAAGCACTGTGTCGGCCGTGAAATTTTGCGGGGAATTGTTTTTGTATAGTCTTGTGACACTAATTAATGACGAACACGTTTCCTAAAGATCTTCTATATTTCATTCTTGGATATTGATAGGTGTAAGCTTTTTAACTCTATTGAAAACTTTTTGTTAGCGGAGTTCTTATATGCGTGGAATCTCCTTTTGGTATTGATTAAATGTTTTCTAGCATTTCTAAAATATAGAATGGTTCTGAACATAATTTTGGTTCGATTGTTGTTGTTGTTTTGTTTGAGGGGAATTGATTACTTATATTAGTTATTATTTCTCTGTTGAATTCTGCTAAGTTATCTATATTGTTAACGAAGTAGAGGGAATTTTGACATTTTTGTTTTCTTGATTCGAAGTATCGTTTATGCAGGTGAACGTAGTTTTATTTAGTTTCTCTTGTGGAGGCTATCTGTTTTATAACCAACACTTAGTGTACAAAGTCTGTGATATTTAACGAATTTTTGTTCGGTAATAAGTTGGCATTATGTGTTTACCACACGTACCCCTTAACCCATGACCGCAAGGCCGGGACGCTGCTGGTAGGCCTTAACTCGTAAAGAGTACCAAAGTACCAGATTTACCATGTTGTGCTAAAGTACATACATACAATAAGTCAGCACTCCTATCATTAAAATTATTTTTAGACTTGTTGGTAAAGTTTACATTAATTTACAATTAATTAATGCATAATGCACATTTACAAGATCATGACAGCATTAAAATAATTTCATGAGCGATAAATACTTGAAAAATCTGAATGACGGTGTAAAATATTTGAGTTTTGAGAAAGAGTGAGTATCAGCGTCCCAGAAGTATCGCCGTATTGACAGGCGAGGATATGAATGGGTTTGTGAAATGTGAACTAGCATTTAGTTATCCGATCTGGTTGGCAGATAATGTAAAGGCGTCAGCGTTAACTTTCTCGAAACAAAAAGTCACGGGTTTGAATGCAGCCTCGGACATGAATGTTTGCTTACGTGTGTTAAGTATTTTCAACCCTCTTTCTACAATTCCCTAAGTATATTCATTGTCATAACCATCCTTCATCATCATATCCTTCAGGAGAGGTGTAGAAAGGAGAAGAAACGAGGAGGCGAAAGAAAGACGGCAAAGGAGCTGGAAAAGAGGAGAGAGAGAGAGAGAGAGAGAGGGAGAGAGAGAGAGAGAGGAGAGAGGAGAGAGAGACACAGGGAGAGACAGAGAGACAGAAAGAGACAGAGAGAGACAGAGAGAGAGACAGACAGACAGACAGACAGGTAGACAGACAGGCAGACAGACAGGCAGACAGACAGGCAGGCAGGCAGGCAGGCAGGCAGGCAGACAGACAGACAGGCAGGCAGATAGACAGACAGACAGACAGAGAGACAGAGAGAGATTGTAATGAGATGAGATGGGTAAATGTAATGAAAGGTACTTCCCTACCACAGCATGTGTGTGTTTTTGAGTGTGTGGAAGAAGCAGCAGCGTAAGCGCAGTTCGAATGGGAGTTTGTGTTGCGTTGTTGAGTGTACGAAAAGCGGGAGGAGACGACTCGCGACTTGCGTGTTTGGCTCTAATCAGTTTAGAAAGAGTTTAGCGCAGGAGTATTTAGAGTGTATTCGCCTCCTGACGGCCGGTTTTTCACCTTCATTGATTCATCCCTAGCCGTTCGATACGGTACCTTTTTCGCGGCTTTAATGCAATGGAGGGGTTCTCTGAGAATGAATTCTGAAGGTCGATGGTTTCGAGTGTAGCGTTTATAATGGCTTACAGACCTGCAACCTACCCACATTGAATCAAGTAATATGCTCAATATTTGTAATAAATGATTTACTTAATCAAAAGTATACTAATTTTGTTATAAAATCTATTCTAAAAGTTTGGACTGCTTTCATGATATAATTAAGCACTAAATGTTATTTTTTCAGTTAATATATCTGTTTCGAAGTGTTCTTAGTAGACAATGTACGTCGTTGATTATCATCTCGAACAAATTTTCATAGCTTTATCCACAGACGAAATACTTTCTACTGTTTCTCAAAACGACTGAAAGTAGCGTTGATTCTCCCCTAGAAATCAGGTAGATGTGATTTTTTTGCAAATTAATGAACGACAAACGTGGATACCCTCGGAATACAGGATACCTTTAAATTTAAACAGGGCAATGATCCAAAACATGAAGCCTACATTGTGAGCAGCTGGCTTCACTACAACTGCCCCAATTACTTGCAAATACCTCCGCAGTCTTCATACCTTAACTCAATTGAGCATTTGTGGTGTGAACTGAAATATAGATTACAACCAATTTTTTTAAATATAAAAAATAAAAAAAAAGAAATAAAAAAATCCACAAGAGAGGAATTGAAGAAGAGAATGGTGGAAGAATGGATATCTATAGACAGTTCGTACATTAAAGGAAATACTGGAAGTGTGCCGAATTGATTAAAAGAAGTGGTTTCACAGAAAGGTTACTCTACCAAGAACTAATATTATAACACTATGAAACAATTGTTAATTTAAGAACACTGGCCAAATATAAAAATGCTTCTAATATTTTCTTTTATTTGTTTTTTAACGTTTTGTTACATTCTTGTTAAAATGATTTTTGTTTCATTTTGTTCATTCTTTTATGCAATCATAAATTTTCTACTAATAATAAACTGAATAGTTATTTTTTGTCCTTCTCATTATGTGAACACAATAGGAAAATTCACTGTGTGACCGTATGACATACTACCAATAGTATTGTGGCGTAAGGGACTGAATGTCAAAGATGAAAATCCTTGTTTGCTTAAGTATATAGTTAAAATGAAGCAGTGTAGATAAAATCTTTGTGAATTTTGATGTTGTAATGAAGTCCGGTTTGCTTCTACAATCCAGATACGGAGTATTGTTTCCTTACCGAAAGAGCGAATCAAAGAAATTTGAGAACTACTGACTAATGCTACGCGGGCACTGTTTGTAATGTTTTTCTTGTCAGTCAATTCACCGTTCATTCCCCCTAAACGCCAGATACAGTTCTGCTGTTGGAGAAATTTAAAAACAAACCTGTAACCTTCGACCTCAAACGAGAGACCAACAATCGATTCCCCACAATACCAACAACCTCGCGCAAACCGGCCTTTAAAAAGGTCACAACGCCCCCTGCAAACTGGTTCCCACGTGCTCCCGGCCGGGCGGCGCGACGCTGCTGCCGCCGGCGGCGGGCAGGTGAGGCAACGCGGCGTGCGTTGGAAGATGGCCCAGCGGCGCCGCCATCGCCTTCGTCTTCGCCTTCAGCTCAGTGGCTGCGTCGCGCGCGGCGAAGCGACTTCTCGGCGAAAGCTCCGACGTCCGCGTCGGCGTCGACGGCGTCGAGACAGGCGGACCGGCCGGCGGAGAGGAGTCGGCGACCACCAGGTAACAGTTGCGCAACGCCATCGGATGCGCGCCCGCGAGTCGTGCTCGCCTGTCGGGGCGATTCATTACCCGCGATGGGTTGGGTGTGTGGAAATCTCCCGGCGGGGCGGTCGCACACACAACACCGTTTCGTGTAGGCACTGGGTTTCCAATACCGGTCACTGTGTGGAATTTGTGGTGCACAATTCGAGTTTCCGGCTGTATCTTGAGGCACAACGAAAAATGGCTTTTGTGATATTATAAGTAAATGAAATTTCTTCCACAACGTTGCCCAAATACTCGTACCATCATCTGATCATTTTTTCCTCTAATATGTTTCTAAATGTTGTTTACCGGATTTTACTCGTAGTAACTACGAGTAAATTAAATTATTTAATACAATCTGTCTGGTCGATTACTTCTAAAAAGTTTGAGATGAATCCGAGGTGGCATGATTTGGCCAGAGAGTGAGTAACGCGATGGTATTTGCGGTCTCTGCCGGACTTCGATGACTGGTTGGTAGTTGAGGAATGCATGATTGCCGTCAGCCTATATTTTAATTTTAATTTAGAGTAAATTGAAGTGTCTGGCCGATCAGTTACCTTGAGATGCGTAAGAAGTGTCAAAATCTGCCTGAAATGAATGTATTTGCGGTTTGATATTCTCAGATGCTGTGTTTGGATTGTGTTTTTCTCCCTCCTTTCTGCAAGGTTGAAGTCTCAACAACATTTTTGTCATTCGTCGTTACGATATTCGAAAAATTTGTTAAACTACGGCTCCTCTACGTTCTCACAACACCCAAAACTCAAAACGAAAACAAATATTACATGTGCAATTTTTTAAACAATATATCGTATCAGCTATATTGTGTGTAGTATTTCTGGGTTTGACAGCAATGATGTGGAAGTGCAAGGTTTCCTGCATACATTGTTCTTCCAAGATCCTCGTATTCCAATGACTGTGTCCTCCTACATCCTCCTATTTCACTCTAATTCATTCTCTAGGGAATATTGATCCCATTGGAACAGGTCGGGGGTGTTGAAATCTTCAGAGACGGCGTGGTTCGTGACCTAGCCAAGTTCCCGCTCTGCGCGGGGCTTCGAGTGCCGGTCTCTGAAAATGGAGTTTGGAGTCGATAGAACAAGTTTAATCTGCACTCCCGGTTTTCTGACCGCTTTGCTCTTCACGCACGTCAGCTACGTATATCGTACTTCCATCAGAAGACGCCTCCACCGCGTCTATGATGCCAGAACCATTGGTCGGAGTAGGATTCGTGAAGTACAGCTCCCCTGCAACCCCTTTATACACTTAAACAAATAAAAGGAAAATGAAATGATAGGCAACACTCGTCATATGCCACCTTCTAGATGTTGTGCAGTGTCTTGAGTATTAAAACATGACTGAAAGTAACGAAAAAAATCTTTCACTACCCTTCTAAACTGCTCATTATGTGTTCGGAACACTTCTTATCTACAAAAGTTTAGACACTAAAAACGAAACCTCCCCAGGTTTTCGATGAATTTTAGATATGTTATTCGGGACTATGAAATATCATGGTATGTTTTGTTTCTGCAGACAAACGTTTTAAAAGAGTGATATTGTCCTCCAAAATGGGGTGGGGGTGGGGGGGCGTAATGAGATAATTTTCTATACTGCACAGAAAATGTAACGTTTTTGTACATGTGCAATTACGGCATTTACATAGCCAATGAACATGTATCTGAGTGATTTAGTTCATCTATTGAATACGGAATAAAATACCTCAAAATACGAAATAAAAACCAAAGTTGCTTCCTAGGGAGACCAAACAAAAATTTAAAGTTGTGAAAAAAACTACTTTTAAACAAAATTAACATGTTTTCACGTTTTTTCAAAAAACTGTGGGTTTGTTTGTTTGAAAGTTCAAATAAGTAATAGGTTGTTTAATGAATTTGCTTAGATTCATTTTTATCACTTTTTGGACATCATATAGAAATCCAAGCTTACAGAACCTCAAAATAATTAGTTCGAAAGCACCTGTGATTATCAAGAAAAACTAGGATCCCTCGTTTTTACCAATAAAACAAAATTGTACGTACAATTTGTTTGTGTATCAAGGTTTTTACTCTGTGATAGCACGTGAATTACTCACAAGAATGAATAAAATCAGTACATTTCTTAATTTTTCCACATTACTGTTATTTTGGTCAGAACATCAAAACATCTCGACCATCTAAAATTCTTTTAATTTACTAGACTTACATTATTTACGTTAAAACTTTCCTAGACGTGGAACTAGATACGAAGAGAATAGTATTCGTAATTGCTTATTTAAGCTCTGAATCATGATTTTATTTCTGCCCATCATTGTTTGATTTGTTCGCAAAGTGGGTGTGGACCAGTGCTTGATGGGATATTCAAGTTTGCTAGTCTTTCGTCCCATACTTTCTTCCCTCACATGCGCATTATGCACCATTTAGTTACAGGAGTAATATACACAGTAAACAAAACATACACAAAAATCACCTAACTATCGGATAATTAATTATTCACTTAGCATCGAATGTGGTAATATCACCGAATGTGGACATTCGGGGAGACGGAAGGACACACGAACAAAAGTGATGATGTCAATCTATTTTTCGATATTTAGGATCCACAAAACATGGATTAGGGCTACGCCACGTGTTAGAGGAAGTAATTTACTACACATGGCAACAGAATTTATCTACTTTTTCGTTACCATGGCCCAGTAATAAGAGCTTTCCTGCTGAAAATTCACCGTTTTCGGGGCACGATTAACTTTCTCTTCCTACGCAGTAAGTGCGAGAAAGTGTAAAGGAGTAATCTAATCCATCTTAGCTCCATTGTTGATGTATCCTACGAATCAGAAATACAGTGATTAAAACTACCGGCAGGATTGATATCTGTGCGTTTAGATGCATTTATATGCACTTCATAGTGTGATACAAAAAATTTCGTTTCCATTCATATTCATATTTGCCCGAACAAGTTTCCTTCTCTCATATTTTAATTACTGCTTGAAAAGTTGAATAGAACAGGTCACACTCTGCTCAGATCGATTAGTTACTTCGAGTGAGATTTCCAGTGTTGAAATCCTACGGTCAGGCGAGCCCGCTGCGAAGATGAGAGATCTGTCATACGGGATGCGTTGCTAGTTTTCTTCTGCTGGGTCATCGACGAGATGACGGCTTCGCTGTGCTAAATAATCCCATGTCGCCTGTCAGATTTAGTTTCGTTCGCCTTTTTACTCACTAGTTGAGTACGCGCAAATGAAAGGGAAAGAACTATCATATTCCAGCTTTCAAAATATCTTGAGTTAAAAGAACTTGTATTACAAGATTTCTCAACAGGGTAAATTAGTACTTTTTTATTATCTCTATTACATTTTAAGAAAGTAATGATGAAACGGTGTCACTTTTTCTAATTACTAACTATAAGAAATAGAAGGTTATCATTTATTTAAGAATCATTTTTACATGTGAGGTAAATATGCATCTCGAGATAGCGAACTTGCACGCTTTTTCGGAGTACAAATTTGGAAATTATATGCACTTGGACACGAGTCTCTGGAAAATTGCTCATGCATTTAGCCAAGAGTTGTTATTGTGTTTGTATTCAATATCCTAGAATTTCCGAACTGTTTCAAACCTCCGAAATATTGTTATCTCTACATGGCCTAAAAATTCCAGCTATATTTCGAAGGAAATCTTATGTTTCAGATTAATTAAAAATCCCTTGATGAACGGAGGAATGTCGATAATTTTGTATGATGTAGAAGACGATATAGTTACAAAACCCTGTAAGTACATATCTGCTGAATGAGTGGTACAAAACACTTTAAAAAGGAAAAATGTAGAATTTTATGTATTATGCATAATTAATTTTGCCGGCATGCTCGCAGACCGCGGCACTTGTTATGCTGCAATACTATCATGTTATTCCCACACACACCTCGAAAAAGAAGCATAGTAGATGCTGAAAACCTTGTTTCCGAGCCCTTGGAAATACGATTTACTTAGCCCTACGTTTCTTGGATTTTGTTAAATGGAAAATGGAATATTTTCGCATCTTTTATTACGTTTTTGGAGATTTAGTTATCCTGGTTTAACCAATAGGCAGCATGTGTAGGCCAACGTGCAGAATATGAAAGTATTAATTAGCCTTTTATTTTCTATATTATGTATCTGTATATGGAGACACACTAAGAAGTAAAGATCAAGTTATGTAATTCTGCGGAAAGTCGATTTCTTGATTTTAACGGGATAATGTGTTTCGGAGTCTCCAGATACCGAAAAAGTGTTGTGTTTTAAAAATTCCCGTCTCTGTCCTTGTGTAAACAATTCACACAACTGAACTATTCACGATAAAGATTTTTCAAAATAAATATTATTTTTTATTTTAATGTTGTAAGTAATTATTACATATTCAATTTATTTACTTTTCAACTATATGGCTAGGCCGAAGGGTTTTAAGCCATACCTACATGCAGCCGCGCTCTAAATTTTTGAATTCTGACATTCACACTGGAAAAGAGACCATTAGGTACGACTGAAGACGAGTACTTGCTAATCTATGAAACTTTTTCTTGACTTTATTTACTTCCTGGCGTGGACCTAGTCTTGTCCTTCCAGCCTTTGGCCTCCTCAACGTCTGAAATCAAATAGCGCCACGGAAGATTTCCCGCTCCATCGCTTCTGCGCTTGCTTCTCGGATAAATGTCCTAAAGAGCGCATTTAATTATTTAATTGTTTATTTCTTTGTTTACTGATTTACTTATTTACTTACCAATTTACTAACTTAATTACTGATTAACATTATCATTTCTTACTTATTTACTTATTTATTTTCCCTCCAGTCTAGGCTCCACTCATACTACTAACCAGTGCTGTTCTCCCACTCTCTGATTACCGTTTCCCCAATAGTTCGAAATGTTCCTAATTCTTTCATGAACTAAGATATATTATCACCTAATATGTTCTGAGTGAGCAATACGTTATTATGTTGGGAGTGAAAGTTCAATTCCATCCTTTTTCCTCTCCACGTTTCTGCGGCACAGCAATTTAAAAGGATGTGGATCTAATCTTCCCTATCACCGCAAAGCACACAGATGCCATTACCATACGAATCTTTCAATCTACGTTGCATCCACCACCCAACCCTCGCTTTGCGCAATTGCAATACCGTAACCAATGAGGTTTACTGACGTGCGGTTATTGCTAGTTGAAAACTACTGGAAGTGTGTTCTTATGATGGAATAGCTGAACATAGATCGAAGGTTTCCTAGATACATGTGTTGTCACGTGGTTCTTTCCAGAAGTGTGTAAACACTCCAGATGCGTCGTCGCTCAGTCGAGAGTTTACTTGACTTCTCGAACTACTGCGCTTTCCAAAATGAATATTGCTGAATATTGTGGATACATGTGGCCCAAATAAATATCCCTACGAGTATGAAACGAATTCTTTGTATTTTGACGGTGCTTCACATGAAGCCTCTGGAACCCTGGAAATAGTGTGATGCAAAAACGGAAATGCTGCTCAGGCTTAGGAGAATAGTGAACTAACTTGAACGAGAAAGTTTGTGCTGTTATGTCATATCTTTATGATTAATACTATCATAATTATTTCTACTCGTTAATAAACGCTTAATAATATTAGAATCTTTACCCACGCACAAAACCGGGCTTATCAAGTTTAATACTGTTTAAAGCCTCACTCTTTGTATTTAAAAAATGGATATTAAATGGAGCTATTTTCATTTTTAAAATAATTTTCTACAAACTGCAAAATGTTTGCACGAGTTCAAATAGCTGAACTATAATTGGCAAATATTTTAATTTCAAGTCGAGGACGTTAAATATATATTCTGTTACTTTCTAACTAATGTCTCGGGAAGGCCTAGGCTCAAGTGCCGGCGGTGGCATGATATTCGCCACTAACTAAGTGACTCACAGAATCTTCGCACTGGTAGGAGGAGAATTCCTGAGGCCGGAGGTTCGAAGTACACATCAGTTTTCGAGATTTCCTCTCTTGTAGGTCTCTTTCCCAGAGGGTCCTTTCCCCTGCCGGAAAAAGCACTCAACTCCAGGCTAGACACCGTCATGTGCGATAGAGTAGTGCACGCAAGAGTGTTTGGTAA